CCAGGACAAGGGGCAATGGGTGCAAACTGAAACATAAGAGGTTTCAGTTGAATATGAGGAAAAACTTCTTGACTTTGAGGGTGCCCGAGCCCTGGCCCAAGCTGCCCAGGGGGGCTGCGGAGTCTCCTTCTCTGGAGATATTCAAAGCCCGCCTGGATGAAGTCCTCTGTAGCATGCTCTAGGAGAACCTGCTTGAGCGGGGGGGTTGGACTGGGTGATCTCCCGAGGTCCCTTCCAACCCTTGCCATTCTGGGATTCTGTGATTCACCTCTGCCGTGAGCCCTGGCACAGCCCTCGCTCTGCCGCTGCTGCTCCCGACGTTCCCCCTTGGAACCGAGCCCCCCCGTGCTGCTCAACGGGCGCCACGAGCACACAGATCGCACAGAGCTTGTCCAGCGCGCTCGGGCTCAGAGGTCAGGGTTTAACTCACCCGTGTCCTGACATGAACTGAAGGAGGAACGTGCTCCCCGTCTCCTCTTCTGCCTGTTCTGGCTGTATTTTATCATTATTTTTAGAGGGGGTGCGTGTGTGTAACCTTTTAAATCCGGTTAGCAAGTCCAGAATACTTTTTATGTTAATATTTGACTCGGGCGCAATGTAGTCTGGCCCTGTCGCTGTTGTTACCCGCATCCCCCGGAAGGAGCAAGGTCTCCCTAGGCTACGAGCCCCGGTGGTATGGATTCCCACTGGGATATGTGGATGCCAGCGAAAAATAAATAATGCTGTAGTTAAAAGGTGTGGTATTTTCTAAGTCGTAGATCTAAAGGCACCCTACTTTCTTTGCTTTGCATACTTGCAGAGCACCATCCTTTCTGCTTTTCAGATATGAAAGCCGAAGCAGAGAGACATCTGACGAGGCTTCATCGCTGACTCACTGTTTGATGTTAGGCAGGAGGAGGAATGTGATCAGATACCATTGTGCAAAGCATCCACCAGACAACTCTGTCACTCGGGAGGAGAAGCAGCTCCCGCTCCGGAGCAGGATGGCTTGGCAGCCCAGCTCTCCTGCCCACAGCGGGCTCCCAACCATCCCCAAAT